CAGTTTGTGACTTCGTCGCGCGACGCCAATAAGTTCGACAAAGACCTGCAGAGTTACTTAAAAGGCGAGAAAATAGACTGCGTTCTAAACTGTCTGATCGGCGATTTCATTCCGGTGTCGCTCAAACACTTAAAGACGAACGGCAAGTTCATGGAGCTCGGCAAGCGCGAAATCTGGTCTGTTGAGAAGATGCAGCAAGCTCGTCCCGACGTGCTATACGAGCAGGTCGCGATCGACGTGATGATGGAGAACGACCGCGAGTGGTTCAACTCCATTCTCGGTCGCGTCGCAGACTTGGTGTCTGAGAAAAAAATCATGCCGATGCCCATGCATCTGTTCAATATTGCGGACTCCGAGCACGGCGGTGTGCAAGCTTTCCGGCTGATGCAGCGCGCCAAGCACGTGGGCAAAGTCGTCATCCGCGTTCCCTGCTTCTTTGAGCGCCGAGAGTCGCGCAGAGTGCTTGCCGATCGAGCGGAAAAGCCTGTGCACTGTTGGGCTCCGGAAAACAACGGTCTGCTGAAGACAGTGGTCATCACCGGCGGTACCGGCGCGCTCGGTCTCGTGATCGCGCGCACGTTCGTCGAAAGCGCTTGCGAGAGGCTCATTCTTTGCAGCAGATCCGGTGAGACCGAAGCGCTGCTTTCGAAGAAAGAGTTCCAACTGCTGCGAAGCAGCCGCACGACTGTTGAAGTCGTGAAAATTGACGTCTCGGAAGCCGCTCAAGTAATCAACTTAGTTCGCTCGCTCGTAGATCAAGGCGCGCAAATCGACGCAGTGCTGCACTTGGCTGGACAGCTGGTTGACGCTCCGCTGAGTGTGCAGACCGCAGAGACCATAGGTCCAGTCTATCGCAGCAAGGCGACTGCTGCATGGAACTTGCACGAAGCGCTGGAGTCTGTCGGCGTTGACGTCAAGCATTTCATCATGTTCAGTTCGATTGCATCCTGCCTTGGCAACTACAAACAGACGAATTACGCTGCAGCAAACGCTTACATCGATGCGTTGGTGCGCTATCGAAACGCGCTCGGCAAGTCAGGGCTTTCCATTCAGTGGGGTCCTTGGGTCGAGCAGGGCATGGCGTTTGGCATGGATGCCGTGCTGGAGGCGGCCGGACTGCGCGGACTCACTAATGACCACGGCGTACGAGCCTTCATCGACTGCGTACGCGAGTTTGGCGAAGGCATCTACTGCGTGCAAACGTTCCGCTGGACCAGCTACTTGCAGCGCTTTGACGTGGTGTCGTCTTTCTACAGCAATATCGTGAAGCACAGTCACAGCGCGAGCAACTTCGACGAGAAAATCGCGAAGATGACTGTCGCAGCACGGAAGGAGTACGTTAAAAAGACCGTGATTGAAACCGCGTCGAGCGTGCTGGGCCGCAGCGACTTGCCGCCGATGGACGCGCCGCTGCACGAACTGGGTATTGACTCACTCGGCGTGGTCGAGTTTAGAAACAGCTTGCAGAGCAAGCTGGGCATTAAGCTCTCGGCGACTGCGGTGTTTGACTACCCGTCGCTGGGCTCGCTTGGCGAACATATTACGAACTTAGTTGAGGAGCGCGTTGCGCAGGGCGACGGAAGCGTCAAGCTCGGAAATCAGATCGTGTACAAGCCGATTGCCTCGGGTGAGCATCGCAACGGATTTGCTGTGGTCGGCATCAGTTTGCACATGCCAGGGCTTTGCACCGATATAGACAAGTTCTGGAAAATGTTGCACGAGGGTCTCAGCGGCATTATTGACGTACCGCTTGAACGTTTCGAGGTGGAGCAGTTCTACACGTCGAACCCAAAGAACGTGGCTCTGATGCCGGTGCGAAGAAGCGGTTTCATCCAAGGTGCGACGTTATTCGACCCGAAGTTCTTCCACATCACGCCTGCCGAGCTGCTCGACACTGACCCGCAGCAGCGACTGATGCTCATGCAGTCGTACCTCTGCTTGACTTCTGCTGGGTACGACAAAGAGTCGTTGATGAACGCAGACATCGGCTGTTTCGTCGGGTGCTGCAACTTCGACTGGCACTACATTGACCAGTACTCGATTTCGCCGTACGCGAGCGTCGGCGGCAGCGGCGCGATCATCTCGAACCGTGTCAGCTACAGTTTGGGGCTGAAGGGCCCTTCGCTAACGATTGACACGGCGTGCAGCAGCTCGCTAGTGGCAATTGACACAGCTTTACAAAAGCTGCGCAACGGCGATTGTGCAATGGCGCTGGTGGGCGGAGTAAACGCTTTGCTCACCCCTCACCTCTTCATTACTTTCGGCCGCGCGCGAATGCTCGCGGTGGACAGCAAATGCAAAACGTTTGACGCGCTGGCGGACGGCTACGTTCGCGGCGAAGGCTGCGGTGCGATTCTGCTTCAGCCGTTGGCCGAAGCAATCAAGGCGAACGCGTACGTACACGCGGTCATTCGCGGCTCTGCCATCAACCACGACGGACGCAGTGCGTCAATTACGGCGCCGAACGGTCCGGCTCAGCAGGCTGTGATCCAAGCTGCGCTGCGCGACGCGGGCGTACGCCCTGCGGACATCAGCTATGTGGAGACGCACGGCACGGGGACTTCGCTAGGTGACCCGATCGAGGTCGGAAGTCTCCGCTACGTCTTCCAACCCGGGCGTGACGCTGCTAACCCACTTATTTTGGGTGCGCTCAAAACGAACATTGGCCACTTGGAAGGCGCAGCAGGAATTGCCGGCGTAATCAAAGCCGTCCTGTGTTTGCAGCGAAAGGAAGTTCCGCGTAACCTGAACTTCAAGACGCTCAATCCGCACATCGATGCAGACGATTTCCCGATCACAATCCCGGTGGCGACCGTGTCCCTTGAGTCCAACGCGGGCGTGCTCTTTGCTGGCGTCAGCAGCTTTGGCTTCGGCGGCGCAAACGCGCATGTCGTGCTCGAAAGCGTCGACGAACAGCTGACGAACGTCAGCGCGCCAGCTCTTCCGGCGTGGGACGTCTTCGACTTACAGCGGTACCCATTCCACGCCGAGTTCCATCCGTTTGTCGGAAAAGAAGAAGAGATAGACGGTTGTCGTACGTTCACCTGGAGCATGCGCAACGACTTCTTTTCGTACTTCCTGACGGACCACCAGGTCTTCGACCAGGTGATCATTCCGGGCGCACTGCTGCTTGAAGGCATTTTGGCTGCGTTTGCTTCGACTCATTACCAGAACGCGCTTTCGGTTATCATGAATACCGACAGAGTGGTGCGTGCTAGATCGCTGACGCTAGAGGGCGCCATTAGCGTGCCGGGCTTGGTTGAGGACGCGCGTAATTACCAGAAAATACGCTACTCCATTGCGGAGAACGGAATCTGCGAGATTTTCTCGCAGACCGATGGAGGCGGCAACAAGTTCGTTAAAAAAGCTGAAGCGGAACTCGAGATTTGTTCGGACGAGCTGCGCAGCAAATTCTGGGATGACAGCGCTGCATTATTCGACGAAATCGGCGAGGAGCGCATTATGCTTGACATTGACGAGTTGTATTCGCATCTGTCGGCAATTGGCCTTAACTACGGGCCACAGTTCAGAACGATTCGCGAGTTGCAGATTGCTGAAAAATTCGCAGTGGCGAAGCTCGAGGAGACTGTGCTAGATCAGTTGACAGTGCCACGCATCACAGCGGGATGCCGCATAGCGCCGCAGCTGATCGATGGCGCTTTCCAGAGCGCTGCCGCACTGATTCTACAGGAGGAGATGCGCGCCGGCCACAGCTACGAGCGACTGGAGAACATTGAGCGCAAGGTGTTAGTGCCGTTCCGTTTCGAAGACGTGATCATGGCGCCCGTCTTGAAAGGCTCGCAAATTGAGTCTGTGGTGAAGTTGCTATCGTACGACCGCAAGACGGCTTGCATTGAGCTCAGCATGCGCGTGAGTCGTGTTGCCAGTCGCATCGAGGATCATGAGTTGTTTGCAAATGTGACTGTGCTCAACAAACCCATCTGTTACATCAAGCGGTTGACGCTTGCGCTGATCGACTTCATGCCGTACCTTGACATTCCGAAGGACATTGCGTGGACGAATGAGTTCACGAAGATCGGCGAAATTTTTACAGACGCTGATATTCCATCAGAAGCGCTGCGTGACACTGAGAACACCACGGAGTTTGTGTCGCAACTGCAACCGCAGTCAGAGGGTCCGGACGCCTGGGACAACGTTTTGGAGGGCAGCTACATTTTTGTAGGCGTGTCAGCGAGTTGGCGCAGCTTGCCGAAGGACCCGCGGCTAATCGAGGTCTCGCTGGAGAACCTCGAGAGTCGATTTATGGATTTGACTTATCCGTGGCCTAAGCACAGCGGCATAGTGTTCGCTGAAAGTCTGAACAGTCGGAAGCGCGAAATAATTGTGCTCGAACATCTCTGTCGCTTCTTCACTATTCTGCAAGAACGGGTTATCAAAGAAGTGCATCTCGTGCCGATTTACGTCTTAACTTACGGCAACACAGACGGACCTCTGCGAAACAACGGCGCCCTTCATCCCGGCATCGCCGGTTTCACCAAAAGCGCCGTGTTAGAGCTGCAGGTGAGTCTGGCGCGTAGAGTTCGACTCACAATCTGCGACCTTGACCGAAGAGTGCGCTCGCTCGTTATAGGGGCTTTGGATTTCTTGAAGGCTCAGTCCGGCTGGGAGAGCGAGGTGCGAATACAAGAACGAGAGATATTTGGCAAGCGAATGACTTCTTCTGCACTGGCCATCCGTGGCCCCCTGCAACTGCAGATGGTGGATCGCGGCACGATCGGTCATTTGCGTATCCGGTCGCAGAGCGCTACGCGGCGCATAACACCGACTGGAAGCAACATTGAAGTTCGTGTGCGCGCAGTCGGTCTTAATTTCCGCGACGTGCTGAACGTGCTCGACTTGTACGAAGGCGACGCAGGACCGCTGGGCTCAGACTTCGCGGGCGAGGTGCTTGCCGTGGGTTCTGCCGTCAAGGACATACAGGTCGGCGACGCTGTTTTCGGCATTGCGGCTGGCTGTTTCAAGTCGTACTGCGCCACAAGCGCAGATCTAGTTTGCAAGCTGCCTCGGAACTTGTCCTTCGAAGAGTCTGCTGCACTCCCAGTCGTGCTGACAACTGTGTACCACAGCTTGAAGACAATCGGCAATGTCGCTCCAGGGCAGAAAGTGTTGGTACACGCCATCACCGGCGGAGTTGGTATGGCCGCCTTGGAGTTCCTGTTGAAGTTGGACGTCGAGGTGTACGGCACAGCAGGCAGCGAAGAGAAACGCGCTTACGCTCTGGAGAAAGGCGCGAAGTTCGTGAGCACTTCGCGCGACGCTGCTGTCTTTCTGTCTGAAATGAGCGAGTACCTCGGCGCGCAGCGCTTCGACTTTGTGCTAAACTGTTTGATCGACGACTACATTCCGAATAGCGTCGCCTTGCTGAAGGAAGACGGCGTGTTCGTGGAAATAGGCAAGCACAACATCTGGTCTGTTGCGAAAATGAAAGAGCACAGACCAAAACTCAAATACAACATTGTCGCAATCGACGACATGATTCGGCATAAGCCGCAGGAGTTCAAGCAGCTGTTGGCTACCGTGGCTGAGCAGTGCAACGAAGGCAACATGTTCGTGCCGCCTATAGACTTGTTCGCGATGAACCACCCGAGTCGCGACGTGTTGGCCGCCTTCAAGCACATGCAAAAGGCAAAGCACCGCGGCAAGGTTGTAGTGAGCATACCTACGGCACTGAGCGCCGTGACGGTACAAGCCGGTCGTTGGAACTATGTCAACAACAAGAGCTACCTCATCACTGGCGGTTTCGGAGCTTTGGGTTTGTTGGTCGCGAATTGGCTGTTCGAGGAAGGCGCGCGGCGTTTCGTGCTGCTGTCACGTTCTGGCGTACCGCCGGCGGACTCGGGGATGATGCATTTGTACAACAAGCTCGTCTTCCTGTCGCAAATGGGCGTCATTGAGCTGCATTGCATCAAGTGCGACTTGTGCAACACGCAGGACGTGGAGGAAAAGCTGTCGGAGTGCGCGCGCGCGATTCGGCCGGTAGACATGGTTATTCACTCGGCTGGTTTGCTGCGCGACAAGCTGCTAAAGGAAATGGAAAGCTCGGCCATCAAGGAGGTGTACGATGCAAAGTACATCTCTGTAGTTAATGTGCTGAACACGATGAAGAAGCTACAGTTGACAGACGACTTGCGATTAGTCGTAGGTTTCAGTTCTTTCACCGCGCAAATGGGCAACTTCGGCCAAACCAATTACGGCGCGGCAAACTGCGCGATGGACACGTTCTTCTACTTGCAAAACAAAGTCGAGGACTACAGCCTCGTTTCGGTGCAGTGGGGTCCGTGGATCGAGCAGGGCATGGGCGCGTACCTCAGCTCGCACCTGCCGAATGTGGGCTTGCACGGCATCCGTAACGAGGTGGGCCTCGCCGCGCTGTATGACGTGGTGCTGCATTCGTGCAACAAGCAGGAGTTGGGAATGGAAAGCGGGGGACTGGAGTCGGCCATTTGCATCCAATCCTTCGACTGGCCGGTTTTCGTCGAACGTTACCTCGAGCTGCCCGCATTGTTGAGTCAGATTAACGTGGAGGTCGGGTTGAGCATGGTAAGCTCAGAAGCTGATAAAAAAATGAGCAGCATGAGCCGAGCAGAGCGCATTGAGTACGTCGAGACGGTCGTCATTAACGCGGCCAAACAGGTGCTTGGCTATACAGAGACGCCGCCGCTCGACACGCCGCTGCAGGAGCTCGGCATTGATTCGCTGGGCGCGGTTGAATATCGCAACACGCTGCAGACCACGCTGGGAGTCAAGCTGCCGGTATCTGCAATGTTCGACTACCCGACGCTTGGCGCGCTGCAAGGTTACATTATGAATGAGATTAACGAAAAGTTCGGCGACGCCGCGGTGCCTGCAGTGGCTGAGCGCAGTTTAGTCAGCGCGCCTTGCCTCAGCGACCGCATCGCCGTGGTCGGCGTCGCGTGCAGATTCCCGAACTACTGCAAGAACGTGAAGCAGTACTGGGAGATGCTGGAGCGAGGGACCAATTGCGTGGTGGACGTGCCGTACGACAGATGGCACAATCTCGCCTTCTACAGTCCCGACATGTACGAGAAAGGCCGATACTTCACGCGCGGCGGCGCGTTCATGGACGGGACCGAACTGTTCGACAACAAGTTCTTTAACATTAGTGCGACAGAAGTCGCGTCGCTCGACCCGCAGCAGCGCTTGATTCTGGAAGTCTGTTTCGAGGCGTTCGTGCACGCGGAGTTCACGAGGAGTTCGCTGCTGAATCAGGAAATCGGCGTGTTCATTGGCTGCTGCAACACAGACTGGCACTTCATGGATACGCTCAAGAAAGTGGACAAGATGACTTCGTTCAGCTCTAGCGGCGGCGCAGGCAGTCTGATTTCCAACCGCATCTCGTACAGTTTCGGACTCCGCGGCCCGTCGGCGACGATCGACACGGCGTGCAGCAGTTCGCTGGTGAGTCTGGACGGCGCGTACATGAATTTGCGCGCCGGCGTGATCCAAACAGCGGCGGTTGGTGGTATCAACCTGATGTTGACGCCGCACCTGTTCTTGCTGTTCTGCAAAAGCCGCATGCTGTCGCCCGACTGCAGGTGCTTTACCTTTGACCATCGCGCGAACGGCTACGTGCGCGGAGAAGGCGCGGGAGCTGTGGTCTTGATGAACTTAAGCGAGGCCAACGCGCGAGGCTTGCCGGTGTACGCATTTGTCGACGGTTCGGCTACCAATCACAACGGCCGCAGCGTTAGCGTCACGGCGCCCAACGGGCTTGCGCAGCAAGCGGCGATTCGCAACGCACTGCGATTCGCAAACTTCTCGCCAGAAAACGTTGCTTACGTGGAAGCACACGGTACGGGCACCGGGCTCGGCGACCCGATCGAAATGTCCGCGCTGCAAGCTGTATTTGGCAAGCAGCGCAAAAATCCTTTGGTCATCGGCTCGGTGAAGACAAACATCGGACATCTCGAAGGCGCTGCGGGCATTGCAAGCTTGATCAAGTGCATTTGCGTGCTGAACAAGCGCGTAGTGCCGCGACATCTTAACTTTGAGAAGCTGAACCCGCACATCGAACTAGACGAGAAGTTCAACTATTTGATTCCCTTCGAAAGTTCCTGTGAGCTCGAGAGCGGAGAGTCGCGACTCGTCGCCGGCGTGAGCAGCTTCGGCTTTGGCGGGTCTAACGCGCACTGTGTGCTCAGCAGCGTAGTCCGGGGCGACAACTGCAAAACGGGAGCGCTGTTCGACGAAGAGCCGCTCGAGTCGCGCAATGATGCCGTTGCTTTCGTCTTCACCGGACAAGGATCGCAAAGGCCGTGTATGGGCAAGCACTTGTACGAAAGCGGCGTGCCTGGTTGCAAAGTGCTGTACGACACTGCTGCTAAACTGGTGGAGCAATCAAAGCTCTTCGGAAGTCAGTCCTTCTTCGACGTTGCGTTTGGACCGGACGCCGATATCAACCACACGAGCGCTGCGCAAGTTTGCATTTTCGTGTACGAAGTGGCTTGCTGCCACTTTCTGGAGCAGAAAGGCATCGTGCCTGCGGCAGTGGTTGGCCACTCGCTCGGCGAGTTCGCCGCAGCTGTGGTTGCTGACGTGCTCACCTTCGAACAAGCGCTGCAAATGGTCCTCGAGCGCAGTAGGCTGTTCAACACGATTCCTGCGAACGAAGGCGTTATGTACGCTTTGAAAGCCGACGCAGCGGACGTCGAGACGTTGCTGCAAAGTTACAAGCCGGACGTTTCATTGGCGGCGGTGAACGGGCCGAAATCGATCGTGGTGTCTGGGCTGAAGCCCGTGATTAACCAGTTCTTGGAAAAAGCTGCGCTGGAGCGAAAGCAACTGGAGGTTTCGCACGCTTTCCACTCAATCCAGATGGCCGCGACTTTGGAGCCGATGCGCGCGTTTATTGCGAACCACATCAAGTTCTCGGACGGCGCTCTGAAGTGTCGCTACTTCAGCACCGTTACCGGCTCGGAAGTAGATGCGTCTTCGTTGCGCAAGATTGACTACTGGTGTGATCACATCGTCAGAACGGTGCAGTTCGCGTCCGCTGTGGAAACTATGCTGGACGCGGATTCGTACAGCGTCGTCGAGGTCGGGCCGAGCTCCGTGCTCAAGAACTTGGTGAACAAGATTTACGTCAACCGTCGCGCGCATTGCGAAGAGAACGGGAAGAAGCACAGCATTTACGCCGCTGTTGAGAGCGGCGAAGAGGAAGCGTCTGGCTTTGCAAAGCTGCTGAATGCGCTGACGGCGAAGCTGACGCACAAGTGGAACCACGCTGCATTCAGGTGGATTGACTTCTCGCACCCGCTGGTCGGCCCGCGCGCGCAGCAACCTACGAAGAGCCAGGAGACCGGCGTGCAGCAGCCGTGTCTTGACTACTTCAAGCACCACATGGTGAACCGCACCGCAATTCTACCTGGAGCAGGCATTGCCGACGCACTACTCGTGGCTGCCGCGCGGCTCTACAACGACGAGTACCGCGCAGACTACTTGCGCGGCGAGTCGGCGGCAATCAAACTGCAGGCCGTGAACTTCACGGTTCCGGCGTACGTGCCAGACTCGGTGAGCAGCGCGCTGCAGATTCGCACGTCGCTGGTGACGCCGACGCAGATCGAGTTAAGCTCTTCGTCAGACGGCAGCGACTTCATTGTCAACGCAACGTGCGAGAACTTCGAAGTGCTGACGGCTTCCCTAGAGGAGGTCGTCGCACTGCCGCCCGACTACTTGGAAAATTTAAAGAAAAAGTACTGCGGCGCGGAAGTCGCGCAGAATGTCACGATGATAAATGTCGAGGCGTTCTACAAAACGCTGAACTCTGCCGGCCTCGAGTACGGCAGCAACTTCCGGTGCATTCAGTCACTGCTGCGGTGCGAGGACGAAGCGTTCGCCGAACTCGCGGCGCGAGAAGGAAGCATTGAGGACACTTTCCTAGAGTCTCGCTTCCGAGTTTGTCCCGGCATTCTCGACTCAGCGTTCCAAGCAATAGCTTCGGTGCTCGCTGGCGCGGGCGTGAGCAAAGCGATGGTTCCTGTCGCGCTGCACGACTTGGTCGCCGTTCAGGTGAGCCGCTTCCAGCGCTACTACTGCCACGTGCAGTTGCGCGAGTTGCGAAAGACTCAAGCTTCGATCACCGTGAAGCTTTTCGAAAAAGCGTCGGGTCGTTTGGCGCTTTCGATAGATGAGGTGGTGCTGCAGCGCGTGGAGGCGGCTGCGCTGCGCTTCCCGCGGAACTTGTATTGGTCGCTGGACTGGCTGCCGGTGGAAGAAGCTCAGCGCAACTTGGAGTCTTACAAAACGGAAAACAACATTGCCGCACGACCGGCTTTCGACACAAAAGAGGTGCTTGTGCTGACGGAGAATGTGTCGAGCAGGGCCGAAGAAGCGCTGAAAGCGAGCGGCCTGGAGAACTGCGCGCTGCGTCAGTGTCCTGCGAACGACATTGAGTGCGACATTATGCTGCGCGAGCGTGAGTGGTCGGGTATTGTCTTTGCGTCGGCACTGAAACCGCAGGCGGGCGAGTTTGAGTTGCTGCTTTCGCTTTTGCAGCTCCTCCGCGCCTACGGCCGTGCGTACCAAAACCTAGAGCCTGAGAAGGCGTTGCCATTCTTGGCAGTGCTCGTGCACGAAGGCTGCGATGTAACGCGCCGCGAGCACTGCGCGAACGGCGGCATCATCGGGTTGATCCGTTCGGCGCGCATCGAGCTAGACAACATGTTCAACCGCGAGCCGCCCATTTACTACTGTGACTTCGACGGCGATGCACCGCTCGCGCAGGTTGTCTCGCGGGCAACTGCGCTGATCAACAGCAACGCATCCGAGACTGATCTCGCGATTCGCAACGATGCGCTTTACGTCGCGCGCATCCGCGAGTTCGACGCGCCGTCCGCGGCAGGCTTCTACAAACTGGTGCCGGCCGCGCCAGAGGGCGGTCGCGTTTCGGTGGAAAAGCAGATTGCCTGGAGCTATGGCAGTCTGCCGGAGATCGAGAACAGCGTGGCGATACGCGTGGTGGCGTTCAAAGTGTCGGCGCAGACGCTCGCACATCTGCGTGACGAAAGCGACGCGGAACTCTGGAACGAGCCGGAAGTCGAATTCGTGGGCAGAATCGTTGGAAACCGCACGGCGAACAGCGAGCTGACCGCGCAGTGGGTGAAGGGTAAGAGCAGTCAGGCGTGGGCGCCGTTGATGATTTGCGAGCCGAGAAAACTCGAAGTCTTGCGCAAACTGCGGCTCAAGGCGAGCTTCTGCGAGCTGCTGAACTGTTCTGCGGCTCTCGTGCTAGACAGCAGCTCGGACGCGTCTGCGCAGTTTGCGGGTTTGTCGGCGGACACCGCGGTGTTCTTTCCGAACGGCGTGCTTTCGTTGACGAGTCACAGCGCGCCGAGCGACTTCGCGAAAAGTCTCTGCGTAGTCACCGGAGGCTTCGGCGCTCTCGGGCTGCTGACTGCGCAATACCTTGCGCAGGAGGGTGCCGGACAGATTTGTTTAGCCAGCCGCAGCGGCAAGCCGTCCGACAGTGCCCGAGCCTCACCGGCGTTCAACTACCTCGCGACGTGCGGCGTCACGCTTGTGCAGCGGCGCTGTGACTTCAGCAACAGCAGCGATGTTGACGCGTTGTTCAGCTCGCTGCAGGTCCGCAAGCAGAACTTGCGCAGCATCTTCCACTGCGCCGGCGTGCTGGACGACTTCCCAATGACGAATCAAAACCACGCGAACCTTGCAAAAACTTACATGCCGAAAGCAGTGGCTGCGCGAAACGTGCTGGGAGCGCTGGAGCGACTCGACCTCGACAGCGAAGAGCTGAAGTTCGTGTGTTACAGTTCGGTGATCTCAATTCTGGGAAACTACAACCAGGTGAATTACGGCGCAGCGAATGCGAGCCTGGACGCACTGGTGGCTGAGCGCCGCGCCGCCGGAAAGAAAGCGCTCTCCGTGCAGTGGGGCGCGTGGGCTGAGCAAGGCATGGCGGCGGGGCTGATTGCGTTGATGGAGAACGTGGGTCTGAAGGGCCTGTCGAACGACGTCGCGCTGCGCGCGCTTCACGCGCTCTTGTGCAACGAAGGGCTACAGCGCTCGGCAGTCGCGGTGCAACAGTTCCGCTGGGGCAAGTTCCTGCGCAGGTACACGGCAGTGCCACTGCTCTACGCAAGCATTCCGGCGGAACAGTTGCAGCGCGTGGGCGCGGACGCGTCCTTGGATCTCAGCAAGGTCAGCCGCAGCGAGTTGGTCTCGATTCTGGGCGAAGTGGCGCAGCAAGTGAGCGGCAGCGACATCACGCCAACGGAGGACACGTGTCTGATGGAGCTGGGCTTCGACTCGCTGGGCGCGGTGGAGTTCCGCAACAACGTGCTGGACATCACTGGCGTGCGGCTTTCGCAGACGTTGGCGTTCGAAAACCCGAGTCTTGGCTCGCTGACGGACCTGATTCTGCAGCAAGCTGGCGTCGCGGCGGACGGCGGCGCGAAGAGCGTGTCGAAGGCGCTGCAAGAGTCTGTAGACGGTTGGCTGATCAAGGCATTCGAGTCGCAGCCGGAGCGGCACGTGTTGTACATCGACGAGTTCATGGCGAAGTTCCCGACGCTGCACGACTTGCTGACGGTGGAAGACGTCGAATCCGCGCTGAAGAACGAGTTGGGCGTGAGCGACGCTTCGGACTTCGCGTTGCTGAGCAACGCGTGGCAAAAATTCCAGAACGAACAGTTTGGTGACGCGGGCAGCAGCAAGAAGTTCGTGAAGGCCGTGAAAACGACCGGCGAAACCGTGCCGCACCCGATCGAGGACCGCAACGCGCTGGAAGCCGCGCTGGACTTCGACGTCACAAAGCTCCAGCCGGTCACGCCGGCGGCCGCAATCCGCAACGTGCTGCTGACGGGCGCGACGGGTTTCGTCGGCCGCTGCCAGGTCGAGACGCTGATGCGCATGAAGGAGTTCCCTGAGTTGCAACTCTACTGCGTGGTGCGCGCCGCGGACGACGCGCACGCGATGCGCAGGATCGTGGAGATGTGCGAAGAAGCGCGCATTTGGGATCCGGCGTTCGCGCCGCGCATCCACGCGATGGCGGGCGACTTTACGAAAGAGCGGCTCAGCCTGTCGGAGGAGAGGTACCAGTGGCTCTCGGAGCACATAGACTTGGTGTTCCACACAGGCGGCGACGTGAACCTGCTGTGCAACTACTCGAAGGTGCGCGCCACGAACACGCTGAGCGTGAAACACGTGATTGACTTCTGCACGAACGTGAAGCTGAAGCCGCTAAACTTCACGAGCACGCTGGGTCAGTACCCGGACTTGTTCGCGTTCTTCACGAACGAGTTCGCGGACCGCTACTTGCACGAAGACACAGGCCCGAACCTTGACGAAATGGAACAGTTCTTCCCGCCGCGGCGCCAGGGCTACCCTTGGTCGAAGTGGGTCGCGGAGATGGTGATTCGCAAGGCGCGCGAGCGCGGGCTGCCAGCGTACATTTACCGGCTACCGAACATGTACTGCGGCTACCGCACGGGCTACACTAACCGCACGGACTACGCGACCGCTCTGATGATTTCGACGGTCCAGGAAGGCATGTTCCCAGACTCTTCGGCGTTTGCGGCGTTGACGCCGGTGGACATCGTGGCGGACATGGTGTGTTACGCCGCGATGCTCGACCCGGCGCGTCGCAAGCACTGGGTCTACAACCTGATCGACACGCGCGTGGTTTCCGCGCAGCAAATCGAGCTGTGGTCAAGCAAGGCGTCGCTTTCGTACAAAGCGGTGTCGCTTGACACGCTGCTCGCGGCGGTGAAGAAGCGCGGGCCGAGCAGCGCGGTCTACCGGTTCGTGCCGCTGATCCAATACTGGCGGCGCTACTGGTTCGACCCAGACGCGCGCGTGAGCGATTGGCCGATCCGCACGCAGAACATCTTCGACGATCTGCCGTGGATCCGCTGGCCAGAGCCGGAGGAAGTCTTCAAGGCGTCGTTCATCTACTCAGCGTCGAAGAACTACTTCCCTGCGGACAGCAAAGCGATCATATTGAACGCAGATGCGGTTCTGGACCGCGCAGAAGCGCAGAGCGGGTTGGACGACATTGGCGACGACTTCGAGTACGTGATCGAAGCCATTTCGCGGCCGTTCTCGAGCGACGGCGAGGAGGCGCTGAAGTCGCTGAGCTTCCTCGGCAAGCTCAGCTTCTTGCGCATGAGCGTGCAGTACTTGGTGAACCTGCTCGGCATGCGCTACTTCGAAGAGCTGAAGCCGGAGATTCTGCAGACGCGAATCGTCAAGCCGCTGATCATCGTCGGCATGAACAGGACCGGCACTTCGTTCCTGCAGAACCTGCTGGCGTGCGACGTAAACAACCGCGGCGTGTTCTACATGGAGCAGGTCGCGCTGTACGGCCAAGACGGCCACTACTGGCCTCCGACGCACACGGACGTGCAGCACATCAAGCGCGAGGACGACGAGCGCGCGCAGTTCGCGCAAGAAATGTTGGACGTGCAGATGGCGTCTACCGAACGTTGGAGTCTGATCCACGCGCAGGATGCGACGAAGGTCGAGGAAGAGTTCTTGATTTTCGAACACGTCGGCCGCTCGTACAGCATCAATGTAGCGCTCGACAGCCAAAAATACCGCGATTGGCTGGCGGCGAACGACTACGCAGAGTTCAAGAGCGGGTACAAGTTCCACAAGCGGTTCCTGCAGCACTTGCAGTTCCACCGCGCGGGCAAGCGCATGTTGTTGAAGATGCCGTTCCACTTGTTCGCGTTGGACGCGCTGTTCGAACAGTACCCGGACTGCCAGGTGGTTTTCAACCACCGCGACCCGAAGCAGGCTTTGGCGAGCTGGTGCTCGCTCGTGAGCAACGCTCGCAAAAGCACGGCCGTGCACGTAGATCGGAAAAAGATCGGCCGCGTGGAAGCCGAATCGATGAGTTACATGATCAACTCGGCGGTGGCCTTCCGCGCTGCGCACCCAGAACGCGAAGCGCAGTTCTTCGACGTGCACTTCAAGAACTTGATCGCGGACCCGATGAACATTGTGAGGCAGATCTACGCGAAGTACGAGCTGGAGCTTACGCCGGAGGCGGAAGCTGCAATGCAGAAGTTTGTCGATGACGAGCGCGCCGCAAACAAGACGCGGCCCAAGCACCAGTACAGCCTAAAAGACGCCGGTCTCGACGAGGAACAGATCGACGCGCTCTTCCAGAACTACGTTGCAAAGTACAACGTTTAGCGCGCCGCAGCTGCACGCTGCGCGCGTGAAACACAGTGACTACACATTTTTCCCTGCCGGCGTAACCGAGTAGCGGTATGGCCGGCTAGGCGCGTAACCGACTAGCGGCGTAACCGACTAGCGGCGTAACAGACTAGCGGTATGGCCGATTAGCGGCGTAACCGACTAGCGGCGTAACAGACTAGCGGTATGGCCGACTAGCGGCGTAACCGACTAGCGGCGTAACCGACTAGCGGAGTTTGAACGGCAGCTGGACACAGACGTAACTTGCGAACGCAAGCTGCGCGCCGCGGCAGACTGCAACAGCCAGCTGTCAGAAGCGCTCGCGCGGGAGCGCCAAGGAGACACTCTCGGCGGATTTGGCGGCTGCGGCGCGCATTCGATTTTTATGGCAAACCCTAACCACGGGCGATTTTGCAGATATATTTAACGCAAAGCGCGATGCGCTGAGCGCCATGTCAGTACAAAATGTGATCGACCTGGAGAACTTGAAACGTAAAGCCGTGGCGCTAGTGGACCTCGAAAACATTCGGCTCAGTTTCGAGGGACACTACGCGGGCAAGAACCTGCTCTACGCAGACCTAGTGCACTTGTTGCTGCTCTCGGAGCGCGAGATCCAAATGCCGTTTTCGGCGGTTTACGTCTACGCCACGGACCCGGAAGACCTGATTCGTCACACGTATTTCAAAATCGCGCGCAGCAAGGGGCTCGTCGGCCTGAAAGACAGTGTGAACTCGATTTTCTGGGAAAAGCTCGTCGCAGAGGTCGACAGCTTCCCCGACGCCTTTCACCTGGTGCAGTCCGCCAAAATCTTCGCGCGCACGTTTGACTTCCTCAAGCAGGACCACGATCTCTCGCGCGCGGCCGCGCCGGCCGGTCCGCGCGGCGCGCCGCCGGATGACTCGGACATCGACTGCGTCGAGGTCGCCTCAGCCGCGGACCTCTCGCAGTCAGACGACGACGTTGGCTGCCTCGCGACCGCACCGGAGCGGCCTGCAACGCAGTGCTTCCGGCTGCGGAACTGCGGCGGCGCGCTGCGCGACGTGACGCTGCACTCGTTCAAGCACAAGCTGCGCTACGGACACAGCGTGCAGCGCGGCGCGGACGTCGCGCTTGCCGCGGAACTGGTGAAGTCCTGTTTCGACCCTTCTGTCGAGTGCGTCTGCGTGCTTTCCGCAGACAGCGACTTCCGCGACGTAATTGCGGAATGCAAGAACGCGTCGTTCGCTGGCGGCATTTTCAAGTACAGCACTTCGGCGTGGGTCTTCGGCTTTCGCAACTCAATGGTCAGCTCGATCAGCGAGGCGATCCGCAAGTCGCGCAGCGGTCGCGCCGTCGTCCACGGCACGCACTACGTCTGCTACCACTCGGCCTACCCCGAAATTCAGTACATGCTCGGCTCGCTGAAGCCCGCGCGCTGCGGCCGCAAGCGGCAGCACTGCGAGCTCGAGCAAGACGGCTACGGCGCCAGTTAGCTGCCGCGCAAAGCGGGCGCGCGAAAAACACGAAACTACAAGCGTCGACGCGCCGCCCTGCAGCCGAGAGCCGGCGCGGCAGCCGCGGCGTGCTCCTTCTACTGCGCTTCACATCGCGTCTGTGTAGTTACGCCACACCTTCTTCTCGCTGCTCGTCATGTACTTCGTCAGTTTG